TCAATACAAAGGGCAATAATTAATTTGTATTCAAATGTTCCACCTGCATGTATTCGTTGTGCCTTACACTCTCCTCTCTTTCAGTACCTAACCACAGTAATCCCCTATGAGAAGAAAGCCGGCTCCCCTGCGGTAGATGACCTTCAGATCCTCACAAAGAGTGAGTATATCAACACCCTTACAATAAAAAACACACCTACTGGAACATGATGAAATTAGTTGCTATAATCTCTGCAGCTGTTTTTTAAAGCAATGTTTCTTAGTTTTGCCTCAACACTTTTGAATGTTTTCTATATGTGCGCCTTTGTCTTTCCTAGTTCTCCACGCCATGAGGGATGACAGCGAGAAGGTCCCAGCTCTGCTAACAGACTACATCCTCAAAGGTAAACACACAGCCGTCCTCTATTAGCTTTAACTGCTTCCTCACACGTTTGATATCAATGCGAGGGGTTTTCACTAATATCAATGTAAAAAAAACTCAAAGCAATGAAAAGTACTGAAGCCCTAAGGGGCAAGACAATTCCGGGCATAAGTATTACAATAACAAACACACCAAACTCTGGTGCTCCATTTTCTAAATCGGATCTAAATAGTTCTCTGTTTTGTGGGTATGACTTAACAACAGGTGGAAAAAAGGTTTAGCGAGCATCATATTCTCATAACGCTCCGCTAAACTCGTTACATATATTGTGTGTTAGCATGTTAGCAAATGTATTTTAACCATATCAATGTGCATTCCTTGTCTTTACACTGTATCGAGTAATTAAAACTCAGGTGGAAGAAAACGTGAATGCTTTTAGTCCATCGGGTTGTGGTGCCCTTGAACCCCTTGTGGGCAACATATATATTACAACAACACACACATTTAATTTCTTTCTCTCCTCCAATTTTCAAAACTCCAAAAAGATCATCCTGGTTAAACTACTTTGTCACGTATTCCTGAGTCGATGCCCTTCAAGACATCCATAGAAAACACGTCCCAAATGTGACTTTAGAGAGAGTTAAGAGGTGGTTCCACTTGACATCTTGCTTGAAAGAGGAAGTACAACGTGTTCTATTTCTAGGGAAGTCGACAGTATAATAAACCAGGGTGCCCCGTAGAAAAGTAGCACGCTACACAAGCGATAGTAATCGGGAAGGTGGGGGAAATGCTTTTCTTGCCACCCTTCACTTTTGACCTGTACCTTCCTTGTCTTTCGTCTGTGCTGCATTGTCTTCTGGGTAGCTCTGGTATGAGAGCAGTGGAACCTGAGGTTTGTGAGGCACTGACACAACTAACACAGATTCTCACCTCCAGTCTTCTTCTTCTTCTTCAGAGCCCCCTTTTTTCTCTTTCTTTCTCTCGGTCCATCTTCGTAGCTTCACTCTCCCCCCCTCCAAAATCAGCCGCTCTCCCCCACTCACTCTTCGCTGTAGTGCCTATCGTGCTGTGGCTGCATTACACATTCCCTGAAACACGTGAAAACACTCATGCGCCTAAATTCCTCCGTTTTCTGCGAGCTTTTAGCGGCAGCTGTCTGCTCCTCACCTGTTTTTCTTCCTCTTCTCTCACCCCACATTTCCTCTCCGTGGTAGTTGCTCTTCCATCATTAACAGCTCTCCTTCATGAGTGAATCAAAACAGCCGTAACTTTAAGCACATCTCTTCTTGTCTCCGCAGTGCTTTGTCCCACGTAAAGCCAGCTTCCTGTTTCCAGAACCATCCGTAGGACCATCAGAAGGAGGTTCTGCTAATCTCGAAGATAATGGATACAAAATCTGTCTTTCCTCCATGTTTTTCCAACACATAGACTTTCTTTCCTTGTGGCATTTCTGTTTTTTTCTCTGCCACCTTTGTTTTTCCTAAGATTTTAACTCTAGATATAACTCCTCGCTCTGTATAGTTATTTTCATTCTTACATTTGTATTGAGTGCTAGGACCCTGTATATCCAGACTGCATGCTGACTTGTCTATGGATGCCAGCAATCAGTATTATTAGTCACTTCCTTATTGGCCCGTGGCACTTGAATGGAGAAGGGTCAGGTGTATTGTAATCCCTGGGCTTTGTCTTTAAGGGAAAAGCAGTCCAATCCGTCTGTTTTATAAATCGAACGCATTTGGATCATCTTATGCATTGGGGGAATACAAATTCTGGCAAAATGGCTGATTAACTGCATATGTCGGGGTTAAGCATACCCTTTAATTTAAAATCCAAACTCGTGATTTAACTGGTCTTTTGCATGTTGGTTTTCTGTTAAAGCTCAATTTTGGCTTTTAGTTGAATCTTAAAAATGAAATATTTTGTATACGATTAAGAGAAATTGCACAGTTTTAGGGGAACTTTTATTTTTGGAAAAAAAGGTAAAACGACGTGAGAAAGTAATAGCTGGATGAACAAACTTGTAAATCATATTTTTGGAGATGGAATTGTTTTTAAAGTGAGATTAGGGACTTGCCACCTTTTGTGACCACACAGCAACACCGTTTTGTAAATGCTGTCCATTGACCTCTTAGCCCTCGAGTAGCGACCTCCCCCCCAACAACTTTATCACTTCCCCAGAAAGTCGTCATAACAATGCGTCTAAAAAATACCTCGTATAAAATGCTCGCATGAGTAGAACATGTATCATTTAGATAAATAGTGTTGTTAACATTAGGTTTGATAATTGTGTAGTTAATCTTCTGTTATAAGTGGGTTTTCTCTAACTGTTAACCCTTTAACTGTTGTGGTAGCACTTTAGTCTATTAGTGATCTGGTCATGTAATAGTGGAATATTTGGTGAATTTAAGAACAGTAGGCCTACGTCTCGCTAGATTAGCGTTAGCTAGCAGTGCCAAAACATGAAGGGTTGTTGTCATGCGTCCAACTGTTTACCCTGCAAGTCTTCATGAGGAATTAACAGCCTTAAAGGGGTACTCCACTGATTTTACACCTTAAACATTTCATTCAGAGCACTACTCGCCCTGTAAAAACAGTTAAAAAGTTTGTCGTCTCCACTCAGGAGTAGCTTTTCTAAGGAGATGACCCAATGATGTCATCAGGGTCATCTTGATTTGGGCCTGAAACTACGACACAACCTTTGTTACAAACTCAGTGCACCGACAGATTAACTAAACCAAAACACTACAGAGTTGCATTATGGGAAATGTAGGATCCAGTGAGTGTTTTAGCTCGGCACATGGTATGGACTAGAAGTCAGAACATTTCTAACATCTATATAAGCTCTTCTTTTTGTGTCTATTGCAAGTCTACCATCATTAGAAAAGTGCAATACTTAATCACTGGAGCGCCCCTTTAAAACCTTGTACCGCCAACTAGCACAGCGCATGTGTCGCTACGCTAACGTTCAGATAACCAGCTACTACCGGTGCACCACCCAGCGTCAACATCAGGTCCAGTGTAGCTCTCAGGTACGATCATCAGTGTTACTAGTTTAAAATCTTCCTCTGAAAGATACTAACATTCCTGAGTCTTTGTACTGTTTTGGCAACAGGTAGTATTAGCTAGACTTTGCTGCACTTCTATCTTTTAACAAATTATACCTGGATGAGCCAGTGGAGTTAATTATCTTGACTAAACCAGGTTAGCATTACAGGTGTTGATAATGTCTTGATTTGTCACTTAATTTAGTCCTAGAATAAGCTAAGTAGTGATAGTAGTAGTAGTAGGTACAGCTAGCATTTAAGCGGCTCAGTAGCATCCACTTGGTGTAGCAGTTTAGCGACGATAGCGTAGATTCATCTAAACTTCGTAGGAGAAGGTGAAACTTATGAAAAAAGGAATTTACTTTACTGGTTTAAACATTTTTAAGCATGTTTCTCATGCATGGTGCCAGGTGAAAATGGTGTAGGAAGATGACGAAGGGGTGTGATAAAGTTAGCAAACATTTGGGAAGATTGCACAACCGGTTGCTTAAATGCGAGGGGTCCATTTTTATCTTTTGTAAAAGAAAACAAATGCTTGCAGTGCTATATTTAACTATTTATATGTGACTGTTGTTTCTGCTGTTCCCAGCTTTGTACACATTTTTACCCTAGCATGTGCTACAAGCACTTTACTGCTGCACACACATTTCTAAGAATGGTTCATTTGTTTACAGAGGTATAAAGATCACATTAAAGGGACAAATGCATGTCACAATTGAATGCATACAGTAAAGCATTAATTCAAACTATTTAGAAGATATCGAAAAAGGGCATTTATACAAAAAAAATGGATCCTTGTCTTTGAAAAAGCTTAAATAACGTTTCATTTTATAACGAAACGGAAAGTCACTGGAGGCTCTGGATCCCATCTCAGGCCAGAAATCTGTTAGCGGACATATCAGTGTAACTACAATTTAGAGATCTATATTTATACATGCACGACAGAACAAGCAAACGGAAAAAGGCTGCCTTTGTAAATGCCTAAACATTTTTGTACATTAAACCATCTCCTTTTTGTTTTAATGCAATATAATTCCCCGATTGGAGGTTTTATGTTTACCGTCTCATGTGGTACTGCAGTATATTAATTTATTATGTAAATGTTCAGTTTTGTAACCATATTGACTCTAATGGTGCAAGTGTTTTGTGCCCACATTGCATTGCAACTCATTTGAAAAATAAATGAATATATGAACACTGTGTGGTTTCAGCTTACTGTGTGTTTGTGTAAAATGTTGATAATCTTATCGTATTCCTTGTTCCTTTATAAATTATCTCAGGGAACATGTTCTCATCCTATAAAGGAATGTTTAATATCAGCCGATACAGTGACAATGGTGACATGAACCCAGTTACAGTTATTTTAATCAAAAATAATTATAAAAGGAACATAACAAAAAGTGATAACTATTCTGATATATTTCCTTCCATGAATACCACTCCTTTATTTCCTAACTAAAATACAATAATTTGAAAGCACATATTGATTAGTATTTATGAATATTTAAATAATGTACAGCACTGTTTGCATTGAGGGCTATGAGGCGTTGTTGTGTGCATCATTCACTGTATTATATCGTACCTCTGAAACCAAGCACTAGACAACATTGTATTTAATCATATCAAACGGTACATATCAATTTTGAAATCAGAGGGGGATTGAAAGTCTGTTAGTGCATGCTCCTCAGTTACTGCTAAATAACTTAATGGCACTTGTGAGTCGACGTCCACTTGATTAAATAAAGTTTCCTCTGGTTCACAGACATGTTTTGCTTTTCCACTAACCAAAGAATAGAGAGCTTTTTGCAAATGAATGTGTCTGTAAAATAAGTACGTCCCCCTCCAAACAATCTGAAATAGATTAAACAGAATGTCCTTATGCGTCTCTATACAGTATCTTTGGTCTTTCTATTTCCTAATGTGTGCTCACAGTTTATATCCTTAGCAAAAGCAGCTGCTTCCTCTCGACCAGCTGTGCTCTAAAATATCAGGACTGTCTCATCCTCGCTTCCTTTCTCATCCAAGTTGCCACAGTTACTCCAGTGATTTGACATGAGTCTTTTTTATCTGCGTTTCTCATTTCCGGAGAAAAGGAACTCCACCTCGAACTGTGTCTGAACCGTTTACAGCTATCTAGCAGGCACAGTGACACTTTGACTGGTTGTGTCCTGTCAGGGGTCAAAGGTCAGCCCGGGTCACAGGTTGGTGTCAGTGAACATGGTGTGCTCCTTCCTCACCGTGCTGAAACCTTTGACAGTGTCAACAAATTCCTCATCGTCCATGAACTGCAAAGGAGAAGGACAGAGCTTTTTAAACATGAGTCAGCAGTTTAATTCATGTCACTTGGAGTTGTGGCAGGACAAAAGACTATAGAGATAATTTGTGTGTATCTTTCTCTCTCTCTCCACAACTAATCTCCCATACTGCTTGACCCATTATTATTCGTTATGCTCATTTATGAATGTACGCTAAAGGACCTCTTGTGGTTGCGTTAATTCACATTTTTTGAAAAGCATATTTTATTAACTTTTTGTATACCTTCATTGACTGCTAACTCCTCTTAACCAGCCACTGATCAACACATGCTTCAGTAACAAAAAGCATTCTACATGACAAGGCATTACATTTCATTTAGCTGACTCAAATCGACTTACAATAAGTGTAATAAACCATATCATTGTATGTGCTACATACATTTTTCATTATATTTTGATGGCCAAGTTGCAGTAGAAATTTCCGGCAATAAACTAGGCTAAAAACCAGCCTTTTGGAGCCTGTTGTAGGCCAAATATTGCCTTTTGTTTTGACACCTATAGAAAAGTTTGGTCACAGTTGAACCGGAGCATCTGTGGATTAACTCCACATTGGATATGTTATGATCAAATACAGTTATGTACGAAACAAGAGGAACAAATGCTGTTTTTGTTTATCTTGACAAAGAGAGACACAACTGACAGAGATTTACACTAACATTTATATTTACTATAACTCTAACTTCTAGAATCTCTACACTTCCCCCTTTTTGGTACATTAGTGTGCAGCTGGGAAAACATGTTTTGAAAATGCTCTGAATCAACAGCACACAGTGAACTCTGTATGTGACCATGGTGGGAGCATTGTCTGATATAATATCATAGTTTAATAATGTTTGGGGGTCTCTCACCATCCCACTGTCATGGCCGGATATGTTTGGGTCCCACGTGTCGTCGTCCCCTGTGAGGGACTTCCCGTCCATCACCTGGCTGACGCTGCGCCTCAGGGAGTTCACGCTGAGGATCCCCAGCTCACCCTGAGGTGCCTCCTCATCCATGGGCTCACATTTAACCTCCAGCACTTCCTGTTGGGAGCGGAGAGCTGTTACTGCCATGCACGTGTGCGGGTAAATTTGTTTTAATATGTGATGATTTTTACCTCTAACTTCATGGTGAAGCCTTTCAGTGTTACACTGTTGGAGAAGCCTGCTGTGTCAGGCACAGCGTCAAACTGAATAAAAAGATAGCAAATGTACAATAAATAAATTAAGCAGGTTCATTCTTTATATAGTAGGGATTAGTAAATAAATGTGTCCTCACAAAAACAGAGTTGCTGGCAGGATAAACAGCTATGGGGTTCCTCCTCTTCTGAAGGGGCAGGGACACCAGCGGGGGTCTCTCTCTGGTGAAGGGGGGCTTGTTCAGGGCCTGCAGGGAAAAGACAGATACTGACCTGTACTCAGGGTAGAAAAAAACCGATTACATTTACTCAAGTACTGTACTAAAGTACAATATTGAGTTTTTGTTCACTTTTTCCAGAGGATGGAAAAGTACTCAGATTGTGTACCTAGTACCTACAGTAAGTAAAAGTAGAAGTACCAGAGTGTAGTAATACTCTTACAAGTAGCACTTTTACTAAATACATTTCAAGTAAAAGTGCTGATGCCAAAAGTATTGGCATCAAAATATACTAAAATTACCAAAAGTAAAAGTACTCATTATGCTGATTGGCCCATTTCACAATCATATATGATTTGTTTGATTATAATTATTGATGTAATAAAGTGTTTATCAAGCTGGTAAAGATGGAACTAATTTAAATGACTTTATTTACTGCAGGGTAGCATGTGAATCCTATTATATATAGTACTATTTATTTATAGAGAAGTCCTTTTGAAGTGTTGATTCAATTATTGATCATTCTTTCTAATCTATATCTGCAAAGTAACTAAAAGTACTACACAAATGTAGTGGGAAAAAGTACAATATTTACCTCTGAATTGTAGAGGAGTACAAAGTAACATCAAATGGAAATACTCCAGAAAAGTGCAAGTATGTCAAAATGGTACTTGAGAAAATACTTCCCACCACTGACTTTACTTGAGTAATTAAATGTTAAACTACTTTCTTCTACTCCAGTTCATTCCAGAGGAAATATTATACTGTATCTTTACCAAAGTGCATTCATACAGCTTTAGTTACTTTACAGGTTAAGAGTTTACAAACAAAATATATAAAGCATTTATAAAATATGATTACAGATTAAACAGTACATAACTGTGCCCCACCTTCACCATCTTAACGTCCCTTACCTTATGGAGCGTGACCCCCAGCACGATGGCGAGCAGCAGCAGGGCGACGGCTGCCATCACCACGATGAACCACAGCTCTCGGATCAGAGGCTGTCCTCCCTGCCCCCCCTCCGCCCGCTCACCTCCCCCTGCAGGAGGAGTGAGGCTCCATGTATCTGAAGGGGAACAAAACATTTTGGATCTTGATAGACATTATGACACCCAGAATAAAGTATGTAAATGATATTACTATTAGGGAGTTTTAGCATATATTTAACAACAATGCTACGTCCTTTTTCTGGACTACAGAATAAGGATTATTACCTGACGCTATTTTAGAAAACCAGATGAAATTTTGAAGACAATTTTCATATAATTTTAAATAAATGGTGTATCTGGGTCCTGAAATGAACAATCAACCATTAGCAAACAAATGTAGAACAGCCCGAATCCTGCAAATAGGCTACATTAGCTTCAAATTGGTCAAACCATTTTAGATGCTAAATTCAGTGAAACATTTTTTTAAAACTGTGTATAAAAAAATATATATATTTTTTTTTATACACAGTTTAAAAAAAATGTTTAACTTGCCAAGGTGCAGAACATATACATTGCTCCTCTAAATGTCTCTTATTCTGGTTGTAAGTTTTGTATTTAGACTTCTCGTGGGTTCACATTTGATAGGAATACATCACAAGTCAAGTCTCTGTTAGATAGAAAGGCGATCACATGTGCTGGAGAAGAGATAACACTGTAACCAGAGACATACTTGATCTCATGGCCTAGTTTTTACCCTGCAACACACTCCTTAACTCCAGCCACTTTTTATCAACTCCTTCACACCTCTTAAGTCTTGAACATGTAGAGTTAAAAGTCAACATAATGAATATAACAATGCAACTATTCCTGCATCCAACAAGACAGTAGGAATTCTTATGAACAGAAGGAGAAAAACAGGTAAGAGTTTGGAGGGGCTGATGGGAAATAAATAAATGTGTCCATACAGAGACTCACCAGTACTGAGGTCCGTGGTTCGGCCTGATGCAGGGGTGCTGGCAGCCCCTCGCTGTGTGACACATCGATCTGAAGGGCAAAGACCTGTGTTGCGTTTAGGATCGTACCTGTTAGCCCATCAATATTTCACACCACGATGCGTTCACATGCTGAACGTACACAGGGCAGGAGAGACTTTAGACAAACATCACCATGTCCTGTTCCCTGAGGCGAGTGTTTCCTGGAGAGCACAGGGTTCAAACATATGAGCTCGAAAAAAGAGTCTCGCACAGACGGCGTGTGTGTCCCTCTCGAGCCAGAACTCCCATCAACCTTTGCTTTTTTTCAGCAGCTCCATGGCAACAGCCAGGTGTCAGGTGTCAGTTTACCTGCAGAGGAGAATGGTCGTAACCATATCACCCCTCTGATGCAGTTTCTATGTAATTTCTTATAGGAATAAATGCTCTATGGGTCTTGTGTTTACTTCTTACTGTATATGATTAATGTTGAAAAGAAGGTAACAGCACACATTCCCAGTCAATGATGTCTTACATTAATGCAGGAACTCCTCAGTGAGGTCACACAACACTGTAGGTATTACAATTCTTGAAAGCATGTTGCATAAAAGGAAATACCTGAAAGAATAACCTACTTTATTACATTTCAGAAAACATATACTTATTTAGGGGCTCAAACAGACTAGAGTATGGAATCCATTTCTTAATCTTTTTAGAGGGAACATACTGCTCAATCACTTAAGGAACATTTCAGAATAAGCAATGCTCACCTTGAGCAGCTCTTTCTACCCTGCACAATACTTGTTTCCATTTTTATGTGGCACTTTTATTTATTAGTTTATTATTATGTTTGTTCTGTTCTTTATTGTCTTTTCTGTGTACTTAATATGTCAATGAATATAATCATGGAGTATTGCAGGTCTTTTAAATCACAATATCACAGTAAGAAACAAACACATGTGGATATGTTTTATGAATGAATCAGCAGTTTTATTATTGCTATATCTCAATTTCTCTTAATAGCTTCCATATTATGTAACCCTATGACTCCAGTTCGATGCAGCAGTGTAATAGTATACTGGAAGAGTAAGACACAACTACTTTTATAGTGTTTTATTCTTTATCTATTTCTATATGCAATGAGGTGAATAACCACATGATGGCGCTAAGCAGCTGCTGTGTGTCCCATTATGAGTCAATGGCAGCAGAGACACCAAAACTAGTCTGGTATTCGATTCTTCCATAGGCATGAAGTACAACACTTTTTAAATGAATACATATTTGCGTATTCATATAAAGAAAAAAAAGACAGCCATATTTTAAAGAATTCTAATTGGTAATCAAATGTAATGGTAAGGCCACATTGAAGCAGATTATTGTAATGTCTTAGACCAGGGGTGTCCAAACTATGGCCCGGGGTCCAACTGCAGCCCGTTGTCCATTTTGAATTGGCCCTCATCAAATTCAAAAATCGTAGTGGAATAAGGCCCACATATGAAACTTGTGCTTGTCTTATGTGGTAATTCTTAAATATATATGTGAACATATACTACACAGTATAGTATTAATGTTTCAATAAGCCCACTTTTCAAATAAATTCAGTTAATTTAAGTTTTTTTCTAACAAATCTTAGTTCATAAAAAATAGCCCAATAACTTATTAACATTGTAAGCTTGAAATACACCCTTCCTATTCTCCCTATAAGCAATCTGAGGCTTCTGTTTTAAGATATGAGATGCCAACACTTTTTGTAATAAAATAAATAAACCCTATGGAAATGTTACGATTATTGTGTTATGTCACGTTTTGTATGTCTTGTTTTGGGTGTTTTTTTGTTCTCCCTGTCATGTTTTCCTCTTGGTATATTGTCTGGTCCTTTTGCCTGTGTTTTTCCTCCTGTCGTTAGTTTCCCTGGTGTGTCTAGTTGTCTGATTGTGTTCACCTGTGGCCCTTGTGTTTCTCCTCCCCTGCCCGGCTGTTTCTCGTTTTGTGATTACCCCTCCCTGTATTGAGTCTTGTCTCTTCCTGTGTTCAGTGTTGGTTCGTCGTTTGTCTGTGACTGTGTTCACCGGGGAGTGTTCTGATTTTCCGTGTGCCATATCCTTGAAATAAAGTTATTTTCAGTTTTTTCTGCATTTGGGTCCTGCCTGCTTCACTCACCGTAACAGGAAAGCTGTGATGTAGGCTGTTTCTTAAAACAGATTCAAGTATGAAGAATAATTTACCTACATTTGATTGATTTTGCTAACTTATAACTTAACTTATGAGACATAATACCTCTATCAATCAATCAATCAATCAATGTTTATTTATATAGCCCAATATCACAAATGTTACATTTGTCTCAGTGGACTTCACAGTTTGTACAGAATATCAGTATGACAATACGACACCCTCTGTCCTTAGACCCTCACATCGTACAAGGAAAAACTTCCGGAGAAAAAACCCACAGTTTTAAAGGGAAAAATGGAGGAAACCTCAGGGAGAGCAACAGAGGAGGGATCCCTCTCCCAGGACAGACAGACGTGCAATAGATGCCGTGTGTAAATTGAAAAGATAATACATTTGCAACATAGGTAATCCAAATGTTTGGAAATGCATGTGTGTATAATAGGAAGATGAATCCACGAGGATATCCATCCAGGACCACAGTCACGACTCAAGATCCAGGGCTCGCGATGCAGGACACAGGACCGCAGGATCATCCATGACTCCGGATCCCAGCGTATATAGACACCAAAAAGAAAGACATTTGGGGAAGCTAGGTTAATCGGAACATGAGAGTACACAGGTATAGACAGATAGAAGGAAGAAGTAAGATGTCCCCCGACAAACTAAGCCTATATCAGCAAAACTAGGGGCTGAATCTAATCAGCCCTAACTATAAGCTTTATCAAAAAGGAAGGTCTTAAGCGCACTCTTAAAAACGGATAGGGTGTCTGCCGCCCGAACACAAACTGGAAGCTGATTCCACAAATGTGGAGCTTGATAAGAAAAGGCTCTGGCTCCCATTGTACTTTTAGAGACTCTAGGAACAACCAACAACCCTGCATTCTTGGAACGTAATGCCCTAGTAGGACAGTAGGGTATAATGAGTTCTTTAAGGTAAGATGGAGCCTTCCCATTAAGGGCTTTGTAGGCGAGAAGAAGAATTTTAAATTCTATCCTGTTTTCTATAGGGAGCCAGTGTAAGGCAGCCAGAACAGGAGTAATGTGGTCCCTTTTCCTAACTCTGGTTAGTACACGAGCTGCAGCATTTTGAATCAGCTGAAGCGACTTGACTGACTTCTTGGTACACCCTGATAATAAAGAGTTACAATAATCCAGCCTTGAAGTAACAAATGCATATATTGCCTTATTTTTGCAATGTTACGTAGATGGAAGTAGGCGGTCCTTGAAATTGATTTTATGTGGGCGTTAAAGGATAAATCCTGATCAAATATAACACCAAGATTCCTTACAGTCTCACTGGAGGCCAAATGAATACCATCCATAGTTAGTATATCTTTAGATAATTTGTTTCGTAGATTCTTCGGGCCAAGTACAATAACTTCAGTTTTGGTCGTGTTTAACATCAAAAAGTTTAAGGTCATGCACGTTTTTAAGTCCTTGAGGCAGTCTTGAATTTTATTTAGATGATTAATTTCATCAGGCTTGATTGATAAATATAGTTGAGTATCATCCGCATAACAATGAACATTTACAGAATGATTCCTTATAATATTGCCTAACGGAAGCATATATAATGTGAACAAAATAGGTCCGAGCACTGAGCCCTGTGGCACTCCATGGCTTACTTTGGTTTGCGTGGAAGATTCATCATTGACACGTACAAACTGAGAGCGTTCAGATAGATAGGACCTAAACCAGCCTAAAGCAGTTCCCTGTATGCCAACTAAGTGCTCTAGTCTTTGCAATAAGATATCATGATCGATAGTATCAAATGCAGCACTGAGATCGAGCAAAACAAGAATAGAGACAAGTCCCTTGTCAGAGGCTATTATGGCGCGTTTCCACTGCACCGGGTAGCTCGCTTTAAGCGTGCCGAGCCATGCGGGGCCCGAATTTGGTTGCGTTTCCACTTGGCCTAGTTTTGGCCCGGGGCTACTTTTTCACCTTTTTTCTGGCCCGACTAAATCGTGGTGCTAGGGCCAGGAACAACCAGGCTGAGTCGGGCTGAGTATGCTAAACTAGAGAGAATCGCTGGCAAGGGGGCTACAACTACAACAAGATGAACATATTTGACCGTGATTTAATTGTAATACACGTTTAAAAATGATGCCGAAGTAACAACATACTGATACCGGTTAGTAAAAACCATTAATTAATGCTTTGACAAGTCTGCAGATAGAAGACAGGCGAAAAACCCTTTTAAAATGCGTGTTTTCTAAATGTAGCTTGGCTAAGCTAATGTTATATATGCTCCGACCTTCCACACTCACAACAACGGCCTATACAGACATAAATAAACCAGCGACTGTAGGCTATTCGCCATGACACAGGCAGTCTGTGGTTTGTACTTGTTTAACTATTGTCAAGTTTCTGAACAGATATGAGGAGCTGTGAGCTCTGAGTGCTAAGAGCTAACGGCTGTGTTGTTTTTCTGGGGCTCTCATTGAAGATGACGTCACGGCTCCGCCTACACTGCGTTACTATAGTAACTTCCCCAGTTCCTAAACTGTAATGGAAGCGCAGCATTAAAGTGAGCCGGGCCTAATAAGGCCTAACCAAACCGAGCGAGGCCTGCAGTGGAAACGCGCCATTAGAATGTCATTTGTGACTTTAACCAGAGCTGTCTCCGTGCTATGATGTGTTCTAAAGCCAGACTGAAAATCTTCAAATAAATCATTGTTTTTTAAGTAATCACACAGCTGTTTTGCGACTGCTTTCTCAAGAATTTTTGAGAGGAAAGGAAGATTAGAAATAGGTCTATAATTGGCTAAAACCTCTGGATTGAGGTTGTGCTTTTTAAGAAGCGGTTTTATCACTGCTACTTTGAATGATTGTGGAACATAGCCTGATAATAAAGACATATTCATAATATTTAATAAATAAGTGCTAATTAATGGAAAAACTTCCTTCAACAGCTTAGTTGGAATTGGGTCTAACATACACATTGATGGTTTAGAAGAGAGAATCATTGAATTTAATTGTTCAAGGTTTATGGCTGAAAAACATTCTAGTTTACTATCTAGTGTAATATTAGAACTTACGTTTCCGGGAGCTGTTGATAACACTATACTGGTCAAAGGCAAGAGGTCATTAATTTTGTTTCTAAGAGTAACAATTGTATTGTTAAAAAAGCACATAAAATCATTACTACTGAGTGCTACAGTATGTGAATAGAAGGCTCAATCGAGCTATGGCTCTCTGTCAGCCTGGCTACAGTGCTGAAAAGAAATCTTGCATTATTCTTATTCTCATCTATTAATGAAGAGTAGTAGGCTGCTCTCGCTTTACGCAGTGCTTTCTTATATTCATTGAGAGTGATATGCCAAATTAAACGAGATTCTTCAAGTTTAGTGGAACGCCATATCCTTTCAAGTTGTCTCGACTTTTTCTAGTGAGGGGCCCAGCCCTTCGTATGTTTTTCTGTGTATGGAAAACATGTTGGACACCCCTGTCTTAGACCTAAAACAATGTAGCCCATTATAAAAGCATTGTATGTGAAACCCAGCATTGCTTTAGAACACATTTGAGAATATTGTTGCATCATAATGTTTCCAAAGTGATTATATAAAAAAAAATGTCATCTTTGAGCCATCGGTCCCCAGGTCCAGACATCAGCACTCGGTATGAGCGGAGGCCCCC